CCAGCGGGGGAGGCAGGAGTAAGCGGACAGACAGCCCGTCTGGGTTGTGGAACGCCTTCCCGGGGTTCCCTTGTGTCCTCTCCTTCCCGTGTTTACATAGCTCCGAATCGCTGCTGCGAGAGGAGAGACTCCCCACACGTGGGCTGGCTTTCCGGCCGTTTAAACAGTTTTATTTGCAAGGACAAATACAGCCGCGGCTTATTAAAAAAGAACAAAAGGGTGACAAATTAAATATACATAGAACATTAAAGGCACTATCTAATTACGTTTCTGGGTCAGGCTCTGCTCTATAAAATTAATTTAAAATTGCAGTTTGGCAAATAATTTCTCTAAAAGTCCCAGCAGGTGGCTCTGCTTCTGTCAACAAGCTCCTTTGAAAATGTGCCTGGAGACGCAGGGATTCTGGAAAGAGCAGTCTCTTGAAACTAGCCAAGGGACGTGGGGGCAGTCTCCCTTCCCCGTTGAAGGGGTTCTGTAGAGTTGCAGGGACCAAGCCGACGGGGTACTTATGTGGATAGCAATGTAACTAGAGTCCCTCCATCAACCCATACACTCGGCTGTTCCAATTATAGTCACCCTACCATATTGTATTAGGTTCAGGTGCACAGCATCGTGGCTAGACATGTGTAGAGCTTATGAAATAATTCCCCTCCTAACGCTAGGACCCATTGGCGTGCTCCATGGTTATAACAATATTATCGACTCTATCCCTTGGGCTGAATGTTCCATCTCTGTGCGTCCTCTGTAACTGCCAAACTGTCCTTGTCCATCCCTTCATCTTTTAAACTCCTCTCCCAAACCCTCCTCTCTGGCAACCATCAAAACAAACAAACAAATTCCTAGATACGTAGTCTGAGTCAGCCCTGAAGAAGAAGAAACGCTCGCGGTCGGAAGCAGCGTGGGTGGACCTAGAGCGTTTGGTGCTCACTGAAATGGGCAGAGAAAGACAGATTCCCTAGGATTTCACTCACATGTGGAACCGAAAGAACAAACTGACGGAACAAAGAGAGACCACCTCGTGGACATACAGAAAGTTGGTTTTCACCGAGTGTTAATTCATTGAGGAAATGGGAATGTTCCCCCTTATCGAGCCTGAGCCCACTCGACAGTCATAGGCAAAAACGTGAATGTCCACCCTTACCTCCCACCCCAAAATTAACTAGAAATAAATGAAAGATGTAAATATAAGAACAGAAACATTCAACATTTAGGAAGAAAAATACATGAGAAACTCTTCAGGGCCTTGGGTTTGGCACAGATTTCTTAGATAGGACTTCGAAACCCAAGCTTTTCAGGAGAACGATGGGTAAGTTAGACCTCATCAAAATTTGAAAATACATGCCTTTCAGAAGACAGCATCAAGGAAACCAAAGACAAGCCACAGGCTGGGAAGGAGGACTCGCAAATTACGTTTCTGGAGAAAGACCTGCATCTAAAAAGTACAAGGAATTTTTGTAATTCAATAATAAGAAACAAAGAACACAGTTTTTAAAATGGACAGAATAGCCCTGGTCAGGTGGTTCAGTTGATTGGAACATTGTCCCATATCCCAAAGGGTTGTGGGTTTGATCCCCCATGAGGGCATGTGTGGGAGCAGCCGAGCCTTGTTTCTCTCTCCCTTTCTCTCTCTCTTCCCCCCTCTTCTTTCTCTCTAAAACCAATAAACATATCCTCAGGTGAAGATTTTAAAAATGGGCAAAATATTTGAATAGACAAAGCCGATGATACATGAGACAGTGTGTCCTATCACGATTCATTAGCCAAGTGCAAATTAAAACCATGAGGAGACACTATTTCACACGCATGCCTTTGGATGGCTCGAATCGAAAAGATAATAGCAAGGCTTTGCTAGGGGGTGGAGAAATTGGGTCGCTTATACAAGGCTGGTGGGAAAGGCACGGCAATGAGACTCATTCGGAAAACCGTCTGGCCGTCTCTTCAAATCTTAAGCAGAAATTAGCCACATCACATAGCCATCGCAGTGCCGGATTTCAGTCCACGAGAAATGAAAATATACATCCGTTCAAAAGACTTGCATGCCAGTGTTTGTCACAGAACTATTTCTCATAGCCACTGACGGGAAAAACACAAAACATACAAAACAGGAAGCGTGGCCGCCAGCAGATGAAGAGATAAACAAAGCGTGGTGTATTTCCAAACAGTGGGATGTTACTCATTCGTACACAGGGATGAAGCCTGCGAACGACTTCGAAAACATGCCGCGAAGTGAACGGAGTCAGACACAAACTACTCCCTGTCGTAGGAGCTGAGTTACAGGCAATGCTCCGAAATGGCAAGTCTGTGAAGAGGCAGACAGAGCGTGAGTGAGACCTTGAATGGTGAGCCTTGATGAGTTGATTTTATGATAATATAAACTATACCTCTGTAAAGGTCCTTAAGGTTTGTTTGTTTTGTTTTGTTTTGTTTTAATTTATTGATTTGAGAAGGAGAACCATCGATCTGCTGCTCCAGTTATTGATGCATCGTTGGGTGATCATTGTATGTGCCCTCACCAGGGACTGAACTTTCAACCTCGATGTACCGGGGGGCGTCCCTCTAACCCACTGGGCTACCTGGCCAGGGCTGTACAGCTCTGAAAAAGTCACCAAGGAACATGGTAAAGATTAGCCCGGGTTGATAATCCGTGATGTCATGAACATCGTAAAGGCATTGACAACCGTGGGAACATTTTCCTGCCTTTGTGGGAGAGGCTTCCTTGAGTACCGCCTCCCACCCTGCTTCTCGAAGGTTTCAGATCCCTCAGATTTCGGGCACGGATGGTGAGCTGGGTCGTGGGAAGGACCAGGAGGCTGGAGTCACCCTGGGCCCCGCAGAAGAATGGCCTCTGCTCGCTGTGAGCCCGGCCGGCGGTCAGGCTTCCGTGCTTCGCGCTGCAGTGTGGAAGGGGGAAGAGCTGTTTAGCAAAGGACAGTGTGGGAAGGCTGGGCTATCCGGACGAGATCCCGGGAAAGGGAAATTGCAAGCACGGGTCCAAGTGTCCTTCTGTGTATCGGTGATAGCGGGTCGTTTTCCAGGAAAGGCAGTCGAAGTTCAAAACCGCGCTTTCCTCGGCGAGAATTGGCTTTTTATTGGAACACTTTCTTGTCTCGTTATCCACGTCTTTTGACTCCATCTTTGATTTCTCTACTGTCTTGTTTTTTAACGAAAGGGGTGACCTATTTCTGTAGAAACTTAAAAAGAATCTTCTTCTGTGAATGAGTTGAGATTTTTGTTTTCAGAAATTGGAAAGACTTGTTTCCTAACACAGACCGCTTAGTTGTGTTATCCGTGTAGCCTATTTCTCTAAGCAAGTCATCTTTTTAGGTTTTTTTCTTTTTTAAAAAAAACCACAATGTAGCCACAAAATTTGGTCTACAAGATGGTTTTGAAATAGATTTTATACTGAGAAACCCTGTGCAAAACAACCTAAAAGGCTGTCAAACTAACTTGACAGAGATCAGTTTTTAAATTTATTTTAAGATGTTTAATGCGCTAGAATATTTGGACCTAACTAGGCTTTAATGTCAAGCTCACGAGTACACTAAGTTAATACACTAGTATCCCAGCTCTGTCTTCAACGATCTCGTGGTGGTCGTTTGAAATTGTCTACAGGAAGCATATGCAAACCTCCAAAAACCAACACCACACAAAAAAATGGGATTCCTACCTACACTCCTACCCATGCTCCACCCAGGCCTGCATGTGGAAAGCGTGCGCCAAGTCACCAGGGAGAGACGCTGCTCAACCATTGCTTGACCTACACCAACAGCAGCTTCAGATCATTTGGTTTCAAAACGTGTCTGAGGTCCTTTGACTTAGGGAGAGCTCAGGAATGCTTTTAGGCTCCAAGGTTGTGGGTGACCATTATTGTTCCTCCCTCCCCTGACCCATGGGTGCTAGCAGCCGGTAGGAAGGCCAAGACCACTTTAATAGATGCAGACAGCTCAAGTGTTGGGAACTTGGGTCTTGGGATACACATCTATCAGTGGGCGATGTTCCCCTATCCAAAGAACACAGTTGGGCCAGTGGACTAGCTGATTCAAGTGAGAGTCAAAGTTTGGCCTCGTATATCTGGAAAACAGAAAACCCAAAAGATGTGCTGTGTGCTCCATGCGTAGGGGTGTCCTTGGTGTGTGTGAATGGTTCAGGCCGGCCCCCCACTTTTCTCTTCATGGAAACCCCCATGTGGCTTCTGTTTTGAGGGATCAAGGTAAGTAGCTTCACTTATTTATTTGTTTTACAAAATTCCAATAACAATGACCTTTAAGTAATACTGAATAAGTGTTCCAAACACAGGAGACATTATTCATAGTGTTTTATTTTAAGAAATACTTATTGAAAGTCTTAGTTTTTTATGTTAGAGAACAATGTGTATGACTTCTGTGGCCAAGATCTAAATTGACTGAGGACATTTTAGACTTTCATTGGAAATGATGTGTTTTTAAGTTTCTATGCATGAAACTAATGCCAATGGCAAGGTATTTTTCTTAAATTTCTTTCATGTCTATTGTTTAAATGTGTTTTTGGTACATTGTGGAATTTTCTAACCAAGGTATATCAGACGTTTCAAAAATTTATCTAGATTATAACATGTTAAAATCGGAGATGCATTGAATACTTTATATGATTTCTTTTAAGAATGTGGGAAATCTCTTTTTTAATAATTTAATTTTATTTTTTTCCTTAAACTCACATTAGCTTTTTTTTTTTTTGCAGTAGCCTCATTGTAACCCCCAAATTGCATTTTCACAGGATATCTAATATTTTTTGCAAATGACATTTTGAATTTGTTCTTCTTGACATCTTTTATGTTTCTATGCATTTTGCATCACCCGATTTTATTTTTTTGAAATCCAGCTGTAACAGATTTTAACTTTTTGTGTGACATTATTTTTTTCTTTTACTGGGTGGTCTCTCTCTCTCTCTCTCTTCTGAATTTTTTGCAAACCTGTTGTTTTTGAATTCTTTTTCCCTTTATTTTCCTTCGCAATATGACCCAGGAGCCAACACAAAGCAACACGCAGATGGTATAACCAGTAATGACGATGGTGAAGATGAAGGTATTTTTTGTTTTTTCAAAGTTCGACCCTGATGCATGATTTTATAGCTCTCTTTTTTTTTTCTTTTTCATTTCCACCTGTTTTTCCTCCCTTTACCTGAAATGAGTGCACCGCGTGTGCTTCTTTATTTTCTTCTTGTTTGGAAACCGGTCATTTTGAATCCCAATGAGTGTGTAGATCACGGCACTCTGCCTGTAAGAAGACGTAGAAACGTTGCTTCTAAATAGGACCGGAATCGTAAGATGTGGTTTACAAAAAAAGTTCACTTTTTCTTTTCCTTTTTTTCCTTTTTTTGGCCTGGTCACAAGAACAGAAAATGAAATTTCAAAACATGCATGTATTCTTTCTTTTCTTCCTTCCAACTGTTACTTTGTGAGTGGATGGTGTATTTTGGAATTTTGGTCTTAATTCCTTCTGTGATCTGCAAAACTCCATGAGACGCCTCCGTAGAACTTTTTGGGCGGCTGGCGTATCAGTTTTTTGTTTGTTTGTTTTTCAAGCATCCTGATTCCAAACTAGGTTTCCAAGAATCTTCTCTGGTTCACAGTGAAATACATGAAAAAGTGTACTAACAAGATGCTCTTGTTTCTTTATGGACTGCCTGTAGCATCAGTTAAAGAGGAAAAAAAAAAAAGTAGGGATAGTCAAGAAGTGAAGAAAAAAGCTAGTTTTATGTCTTTTCTTTTTATACCAAGGCTGTTTTGTAAACATTTTTGTCTGCAAAAAAAATAAAAAAAAGTTTCCTATGGAAAGTTTTTTGAAGGGCCCCCAAAAGCTGGATAAATTATCCCTGAGAACTAAATCGACTTTGTTAAAAAACAGATAGACGATCTAAGTGGCCCACCAGCACATGGAAGAGGTGGTAGAAAAGAAACCGAGAGTCTAAAATACGTTTCTGCGAAGGCTTTCTGCACGTTTCCCCATTGGAGCAGTCCAGTGCACCAACGTGCCCTTGTTTATCTTAAACGGGTGAAGGCCCTTGCATCTCTGGGCCTTCTCTGGCGTCTCTGGGCCACGCCGGAAGAAGAAGAGTCGTCTTGGGCCACGCGTTAAATACGTGGCGACATGTCATCACACACAAAAAAATCTCATCATGTGATTTTAGGTAAATTGACGATTTTGTGTTGGGCCACCTTCACAGCCTGCCGCGGGCCGCGGGTTGGACGGCCCTGCCGTATGGGAGCCTTTGGCGCTCTGGCTGAAAGACAGTGTAAACCATTGCTATTTTACCCGAGTTCACGGGCTGCCCTTATGTGCGGTACTTCTATGAGAAATCTCTGCCATTGGCCTCGAGGGCTGCAGAACACCGGCAGTTGTATAGGTATTTAAAAGCACAGGGTCCCGCACAAACAACACCCCTTTTTTATTACAAACTCCTTTCTTACAAAATCGCAAGCATGCCGTTCTGTCACATAACCATACCACACTCAAGCACATCGTAGGGCATTTTAGATGAAATGTTCAAAGTAAAACTACAAATTACTCATTATTACACCCATATTATTACCCACCCAACCGCACTCTAGCAGGCGTTACTTCTGCCGGACCATGTGTATTAAAAACAAACCAATGAAAAAAAAATAAACAAACCCTCCTTCTCATGATGTTCCAGAGCCTAGGGATAAAATTTGCATCTAACCCTGTTCCCTGTCTTTAGGTATTTCCTGTACGCCTCTAGGGTCTGTTTTCTGGACTCCCCTTTGAATTAATACTACATCTGGTTAGTACTCCGGGTCATGAGAACCTTGTCCGTGTGCCTTGGGGGGTAAGAGACGCTAACCTACCAGCCTCTCTGCGGAACCCCCTGCCAGCGGGTCCTGAACATCTCGCCTGTTCCCTTTGCCACAGGAGAGCAGCCAGCAGCCTGTGAAGATGGAATAAAGAAAGGCCAGCCAGGACCATACCTAATGCCACATGTGACCGCAACAGCGGCCTATTAAAAGAATTCCGTGTCGCACAGGGAGAGTCCATCGTAAACAAAGTGCTTTTACTGTCTACGTGAATTTTATATGAGAAAATGCGAGGTGTTCGTCACCTGTCGAAATCACCAAGGGCAGCGTCGCACTGCTTTCTGTACTTGACTGTGACCAGGGGGTTTCTGGAACCTTCTTGACTCTTGATCACGGCCACTCATGAGCTCCGTTTGAGATTATCCTTACAATTCACTTGATCCAAAGGACGGTGGCTCATTTCCTTAAAACTCGCTTCTGATCTTGGAAAAGCGTCTCGATGAATTAAGACAAAAAAAAAAAAAGTGAAAATAAATGTACTTAAGTACATTTGATTTTCTTTGGATAACAGATACTGAAAGGATGTACACAGACACATATAAACATATATATGTGTGTAAATATCCAGAAAGAATTGTTTTTGAGGTCAGACTTCTTAAATGTGAAACGTAAGCCTACGGGATGATGTAACACTAAACACTGAGGTTTCAGTCCTAAGTGTTCAGAAAGCAGGCTCTCTGGTCGCAGACCATGGCAAGATATGGGTTCTGCATCATTGTTTCAATAAACTAACAAAGTCATTATCACACGGGTAGCAAGTCACAGCAGAAGGTCCTACTCCCTGTGACAGTCTGCAGCTTTTTAATAATTTTATCTTGAGGTGGGAATCTTTTGTTACTTTCATTACATCTCTTTCCTTTTTGTCACTTGAATATGTTGGGATTTTACGATCATTCCCAATCAGTCCCCAAGAGCAAAAACATTTGCTGGGACATCTCTTCTTGATTTTGTTTTCTTTTTTGTTTTTAATCACTTCTGTGCTGCTAATCATTTTGAGCCATTTACTTAGTTTTTGGCAGTACCCTGTTTTGACAGTTTGTAGAGCCACTATTGTCCTTAAGTTGCCATAGGAAGCTCACCTTTGATGGAAGAAGGCAGTCACGGTAAAAATAAATGATAACCTTCACGTCGATTTCACACTTAGGTGATAAAACTATGTTGCGTAATACATGCCTCGAGCTTCTTCAGTGTAAGTCCCCTTTCGGGACTGGAGCACTATTTAGAAAATAAACGTATTTCATGTAAGTCCTTAGTTTTTTCGTGTCTCAGACACAGACAAAAACATACGTATGCGTACCTAGTCAGAGGTCAGTACGCTTCTCAGAATACCATTTCTACGGGTAGGAAATGCAATCACGGTGACCGTTTTGCCCAGGTAGCCTTATCAAGGCACCTGTAATTAAACTCTAGACGCAGGGATGGCCCCAGCGAGGAGAACGCATCAGTGCCCCGTGTCCTCTGGGCAGCATCTGTTGGTCCGTGTGCTTCTTCATCGTGTTTCCTCGCTTCCCTTTCCCCCCAGACATCCACGATCAGAGCAGTAAGAAACCCGTGATGGTCTACATCCATGGCGGCTCGTACATGGAGGGCACCGGCAACATCATCGACGGCAGCATCCTGGCCAGCTACGGCAACGTCATCGTCATCACTGTCAACTACCGGCTCGGCATTTTGGGTGAGTCGGCAATGGGTTCTGCTTTCGCTGTTGGGCGAGCTCAACGTTTGCCATGGTGCCGCCGCCATTTGTCGGAAATGCTCCTTTTCAGTGAACCTCTGTAGGATCTATTTGTCCCTTTCAGTGCTTTCACGGGGCGTGGGGTGTGACGTGCTGTGTGTGATTCTGCATTCGGTCATGGGTGATGCTGTGGTCATAGTTGACAATGGCCGCAGATAGTAGCTTTCTTTGGGAGTTGTGTAGATGTGTTGTTTCTTGTGCGTTGGAAAAATCTTTTGCCTAATATTTTTCAGTGGATTGTCTGGTTTCAGCCTCGCAGAAGTGCTGTACGATCCTTGGCCATTCTTTTTGTATTTAATGGACATTAACTCTTACTGGTATTTTGTAACATTTGACAGGGAACAATGATAGCACCTTGGCTAAGTGCATGGACATTCAAGAGGAGCAGCCATTATTTTGCTGTTTAGTTCATTTTTCTCCAACTGGGTGTTGGGGAAAAATGTATTTTGGAGGTCATATTTTAACGTTTACCTTCAGAGGCTTTCTCTGTTGTGTTGTGCATCGCATGCATAAAGTATCCCATGATCTCTGTGGCAACATCTGTTTTTGAGGCACACATGCATTGAGATGCTGCCGCCAACTGAATCTGGAACAAGGTGATTTATGAAGGTGAGACGTATATGCTGCAGTGTGGTTACGGTAAAATATTAAAAATAAGATAACACGGATGAATGGGGCTATGTCAAGCAGAAACGTGTCCGAATGTGCTTTCTCCAAATAGGTGAATTTTATTTTCAACTTGATGTTTTCATTGTATTCTGAGCTTTCTTGTTTCCATTCACCTATGAAAGCATTCACCTACAAAGGATTCACCCCAGAAGGGGGTGCGTTGTAGAAATACATTGTTAACCTAGAAAGAACTGCAGACCCCTCCCAGATGTTTGCCAAGGGGTGCCTTTTGGAACACCCATAAAATACTCGAGATTCCCTGTTGGTGTTTAAGGGAAACAAGGTCTTAGATTCGAGAGCCCTCTCGTCGTCTGATGCTATTTTCTCTTCTTTTTTCCATGAGTCGGATGAGCCAGATTTCTGCGGAATGATTTTTAGTTCATTTGGCATCGTGATGCCTGCCACAGATCTGAGTTTTCCGTGGTTTTTCTTTTTCCAGAGACTTTTGGCTACTGTCTCGGGCCCCTCCTGTTGCAAACAGGAAATCGTGTATTTTGATCTTTTACAAAAGGTCCATTCTAACAAAGAGGTGGGGAGAGAGGAAACAGCCGGCCAGGCCCCCTGACTGAGCCTTTCAAAGTGGGCAGTCTGTTCGGCCTTCCAGAGTAAGGGCGGACCCTGCGAACTGAGCTGTTTTCTGAATGAACGAAATGGGCATCGCACAGTGTCTGGCTTTGGTGCAGTAACCACATCTTCTCCTGTGTGCACGATGGGCGGATGATCCTGAAAAGGTTAGAGTTCCAAAGAAATTGATTTCTTTCCCCTGCCTGCCAAACTGTTTCAAGCAGCTCTACAAAGGTAATCTCTTCTGCATTTGGCTCACCGGAGAATTAAGTGCTGATCTTGAAAAGAACCGTAGGGGCTCTAAAGCCGGTCCTTATTTGTTTCAAGAGGGAGGGAGAGACAAAAAACTTGCGTGTTTAGCACTGTTCTCATGGAAAAATATTCCGTTTACCTTTGGGTCTGGGGAGCGGAGAGAATGGGGCTGCTGAGGTGTGGCGTTGGCGGGGGTGGGGGGGGAGCGGACTCGTGAAAGGAGCCATTCAGCGGCAGGGGGCTGCGTCTTGGCATTGTGCCCGGCACCGCTGTGCAGCCTCAGAACCTTACAGACCCCCTTTCACGGGACGGAGGGAGCGGGCCAGCTCTGCTGAGGCAGCACCACGACGGGGGTTTCACAAGGTGACTCAGTTTCCCTTCTCCACCCCCCTGGCATTTGCCGCTGTCCATCTGAAAGCTCATCCACTGCACCCATCTGGCTTTCTGGAAATCCGGAAAAGGGTGTGTCTCCAAATTATTCTCAAACCATCGGCCTCCAGGTAGGTAAGGAATCATCAAATAAAATGGCGCCCTACGCACAGGGATGGGTGTTCGTTGCAATCCGCGTGTTGAGTGCGAACAGGTGCGAGTTCAGCCGAACGTTGAACTTCCATTGAAGTGTATTTCTTCAAACACTCATGCGTGCATGCAGGCTATTTTCCTATTTAAGGAAGGGGGAAAGTATGGTGACAGATTATTATTTTTTAACCGAGTAGCAAAGGGTGTTGTCCTTCCCTAAAGAGCGGGTGAAAAGATGAATTATGGTAAAAATGGACAGTGGGTGGGAAAAAGGCTGGATTTTACAATGGGACAGAAATGAGCCAGCATCTTCCCTCGACCCCATGTCTGTGATAATGCTGTGGTGTTTAGACAATCAGCTAATTTTTTTTTCCTGAGAATATAGCACAGGGTAGTTTTCCACCCTCTGGCAAGGCCACTGAACATATCATGTAAGGATCCAGTGGTCTTATAGCGGGCAAGTTTCACAGCCTTGACCGAGAACCTGTACATCCAGCCACCTTGTAATTTCCATTGTTATGAATGTCACTGGGCGCCATATTAATATCGCTATTGATTCGGATGCGTAATCGCCACTGGCCACATACACCATGGCTCCTGTCTATCCAATACCATCCTCTAAACGAAGTCGCTTTAATTTAAAAAAATAGTAATTGTTGTGTGAAATAAAGGAGGGCATTCACATTTGCTTTCTGAAAAAGACTGTTTTCTTGAAGGAGAACTGACCCGTAGTCTTGTTAGCTGTTGGCCATATAATTTATTGGCCAGCCCAGGGTGCTTTGAGGGCTCTAAATCTCTTCTTAATAAACTGGGTTTGTCCCAGGCAATCTGAGCTGTGTCCTCAGAGCTGCATCAAGTGATCATTTACACTCACACGAGGTCTACCGATTTAACTAGTGTTCCGTTTATTTACAAACAAGATGCTCTTTGGCAGGCACATGTCTTACTGAGTGTGCTGTGCATGTTTCTCATTAGGAAGGCATGTATGTGTAAAACTTGACTTGTACTGAATCTGCCTCTCTTTTTAAATGGTTGTTCAAACACCTTGGATATAAAAGAAAAATCTCCTCTCTGAAGCTTATTGATGGAAACATTTCAACTTTATTTATTTCTGGTTCTCACCTCTCCTTTTCCTCATCTGTTGTCTCCGCTTTCCATGTGTTTGGCACATTGTCTAGGTCGAGTCTACGTCCGTTGAAACATTCATTGTAGTTCAGCTCGTACGGTAAATTTTCAGTTATCCTGTGCTTGGATGTATCACGCATGTCCAGTGCTGTTTCTGCTCCAAAATGGTCCTTATCTGTTGGGTTGAGCAAAAAAGTCCATTTAGGTTTTTTCCCATAAAATAAAAGACATGTTTTTCATTTTTCACCAATAACTGTGCTGATTTGGAGATTTTGCGTATATCCGCTCTCTCCCATGTGGTAGAACATTGGTTTTTCCCAGTGAACGTCTTGACTTGATTGCTGTCAACTTCAACTGGTCCACCCGACCGCAGAGCATCGTCCAGCGAGACATCTCCAGCACGAGACTTCGCAAACCACTGCTGACACGTTCGATCACTCACAGCACCCTCTCCCTACATGGCACACATCTGTTTTTTGCCTTTCAGTTGTGTTTTCAGTTCTTGAAATAATAAAGCACGATATGCCAGACATGCTGCATAGTTTCTTCCACCTTGAATATTCAAATGGCTGCACAAAAACTCACCCCCAGTTTTGATAAGCTTTTTTTGGAATGCACGCTGATAGGACAGCGGTCCCAATACAGTCTAACAAAATGGTTTCAAATCAAGTGCAAGACAGCTAAGCACTACTAGAGTCTTCGTTTGGAAAATAAAACAAACGAACCTTTTGGCCAGCCCTTATGGACCATAGCACGAGCTATCAGAGCCTCCCGTGTGGCCAGCAACAGGTTGCTGTAGATCTTACTTGATGTAACCCCCTTGGAGGGTCTCACTGACCTGTGCAGGTGACGGAAGAGAGTCACCGAGGTTCAGTGTGTCGGCCTCAGAGCTGGGAGCAGCACCAGGCCTCCCAGAAGCCAAAGCTCCTGCCTTTCTGCTCCGTTCTCCCCTCCAGCCTGGCCATCGGTGCTGAGTATGAATCAGGTCCAGCGCGATGTGAGTCAGGTAACCAGCTGCCACCTGAGCATCAGGCGAGCTTCTGTAATGGCACGAAAACACGTCCAGTGCCCTGGTGGTTGGACTAGGTACAAACTTGCGTTGCAACACGGTATATCTGTATGTTTCTCCAAGTGGGTGCTTGGCGGCTGAATTATTAACCTTCGGCCGCGATGGATGGGCCATGATAGTGCCTAGGGCGGTCAGCGTGGTGTCCGTGCCTGCAGCGGCGATTGTCACATCGAAGAACTAACACTGTGTCACGAAGGTGGGTGTGCATCTGCTGCCGCCGCCCAATGACCTGGTTGCCCATAAATAAAATTCAGACCCTTGGGCCAAACGATGAGTCAGCAGCTTTCTCACCCGACAGGTAACCTCACAGTCTTATGCGATGGGACCTACAGCTTCCCATCAGTGACTTTTTCAAGGATTCAAAAGACATCAGAGACCCTGTTCATGTCGCAGGTAGTGTAGCTGCCCGCAACGGGTCGGTCTCCAGGGAGCCTGGGCAACAGCCTTCTGTGTTCTGCACGTCGCTTTTTCTCCAAGATCATTAATCACAGAAATAGCGGGAGGCTCTCTCACGTCCTAATTCCGCCTGTAACACAGAAATGGTTTGAAGTACAGGCGTGGTACGTGCCCAGGAAGAGGAGCAGCTGAATTAGCGTGTGCGTGACTTGAGCCCCGTGCTTCCGTCACGGCGTGGCCCGCGTTGCTGCTCGGGACTCTGGGGTCGTGCTGCGGTTTCCGTCCGGCCTGCAGGCTGTGTGGGCTGGCGCCTGGACGCGCCTCTCCTACCTCAGCCAGGGCAGTT